TGACCAGTCCGAAAACTGGCTAGCCCGTGCTAGTTTAACCAATTTCACTAATCTAATAGGCCTTTCAGTTGGTAGTAATAATAATCACATTGGCTAGCCAGTTTTCGGACTGGTCATTCAAAAATAGCCAGCGTTTGCAAAGTCATTGAAAAATAACCACTATTTTGCTGCAACACGGAAAGTTCCAGCATAATATACTGGAGATCGGTGCACCTGTGTATGAATTTCCAGCATATTATGCTGCAACTCCAACACGCGAAAAGTTCCAGCATAATATACTGGAGATTGGAGCACCTGTGTATGAACTTCCAGCATATTATGCTGAACCGGTATATTATACTGGAACTCCAGTATATTATGCTGGAAGTCCAGTATATTATAGTGGAACGCCAGTATAATATACTGGAGTTCTAGTATATTTATGCTGGAACTCCAGTATATTATGCTGGAGTATTTTTCGGATTTTGAACAATATTTTCGTTCAGTATCTTTACATGAAAAGTGACTAAATTTTGATTACTTTTGAAATTGTGGCTATTTTTGAATGACCATTTGTAAATCTGACTATTTTTGAATTTCTCCCTAATAATCGAAATGGTTTTCTGAATTTCTGAAATATTAAAACCTTACAATTAAATGCAAAATGTAATTATGACTTATTATTTTAACCACTAAACTTTAGCTCTAATTTCGATTCACACTTCTTTCTTTCTAAAAGCATTATTATGAGAATATGCCCTTATTCTCTTATTGGCCTTTGGAGAAGAATATGTCCAATTATATTCCTCGAAGATGCTTCACATTGTGTATTTTAATTATTATATATATTATGTTTTAAAACCTTAATAAATAATTAGTACCAACTTCTTTTATATACGTATCAACTACTTCATCCGTTCATTTTTACTTGACATGTATACTAGAAATAGATTTTCATTTTTACTTGTCACTTTACGCATATCAAGAGAATGACAAATTTTTTTTCCTGTTATGCCCACAGTATTTATTACTCACTAGTATTAGTACCCTCGCGGATGCGCGGACACTAATCATGTCAAATACTTAAGTTATATGGATTGTATGTAAATTATCTTAAAATTTATACTTTCTCAGTAAAAATAGATAATCATTGGATATTAACTTACATGAAAAAAATTAACCATTTCTTCTAATTTTCTTTTTTGATACCATTCTTGCCGGTGTCATTGGATCCTAAAAATAGTCAGGAAACAAAATAATAACTCATATTTATGGCAAAACAATTAAATGTTAAGACAATGAATGACTCTTTGGACAAGACTTAACTCTTTTACCACTACTTGAACTCTTATTTGGTGTGTTGATATCTTTTAAAAAATATTTCTTTCTTAAAATTTTAGTTTCTAAAACATTGTTTTTCAATAATAATTATTTTTATAATAATGTAATTGAAAATATTATTCTTAATTCAAAACTCATTTTAGTTGGCTATCTAAAAATATAAAAAATTCTTTTAGCTAGTGAATATTTTTACTCCATTTTGGTATTTGACCTTAACCATGTTAAATATCTGAGTTATTTGAATTATATGTAAATAACCATAAAATTTAAACCTTCCAAAATAATTATAGATAATCGTCAGATATTAATTAAGAAACACTACATGAAAAAAGACTAACATTTTCTTAATTCTCGTAGTAATAATTTTATTTTTGCACTATTCTCATAGGTGTCATTGGAACCTAAAAATAACCACAAAATGAAATAATAACTCATATTTATGGCAAAGCACAAAGGTTGACACGATATAAGCGATTCTTTGATTATGATGTGACTCTTATACTACGACTTGAACTCTTATTTGGTATGATTTTATCTTTCAAAAATTATTTCTATTTTGGAATTTCAATTTCTAAAACTTTATACATATATATATATATATATATATATATATATATATATATATATATATATATATATATATATATATATATANATCGTCAGATATTAATTAAGAAACACCACATGAAAAAGACTAACAATTTCTCAATTCTCGTAGTGATAATTTTATTTTTGCACTATTCTCATTATGTGTCATTGGAACCTAAAAATAGCCACAAAGTAAAATAATAACTCATACTTATGGCAAAGCACAAAGGTTGACACGATATAAACGATTCTTTGATTATGACGTGACTCTTATACTACGACTTGAACTCTTATTTGGTATGATTTTATCTTTCAAAAAATATTTTTATTTTGAAATTTCAATTTCTAAAACTTTATATATATTATAATAATGATTATCTTTATAATGATGCAAGTGAAGACATTATCCTTAATTTAAAATTTACTTTAATCGGCTATCTAAAAATTTAAATAATTTTTTGGCTGGATTTATTTCAGTATGACTCCACTTTAAGTTTATCGAAATCTCTAGCCCCAGAATTTGAATTTTTAATACTCTATATATACAAAAAATTTGTTCTTTGAATCAAAATGTTAAATTAGTTGATTATTATTATAAAATATTGCATATATTGTCTTAAAATTATCAAGTAGTTTATTTTTCGACACCATACTTGGCTTAACCTTAACGCAAACTACTCAAATTGCATTCCAATTCAAATTTGAATATCATATCAGTTTGTTAGTAATAGTGATTTTTTAAAAACGACACATAATGTAAATTAAAAAAATATTCGAAGATATCCTTATCTTATAATCTATGTATTTGAGTTGAAAAAAATATATTTGAAATAGTTGAGACTAACTTTCAAATTTTTTTATACTCAACTAAGATGAAACATAAAAAGAAATTTGTTGTCATCTTTTATTTCTAGTATTTAGATCTTTTTAACATTATTTTCAATATTTATTTTCTTTTATCTTGTTTTTTATGTCATTATTTCTTTTGTTACAAGAAATTAATTTATTTCACTATAAAAGGATGAGTTTTAAAAAAAATTATCTACATATGAACTTTAATTAAATTTTTAGTCTTTGGTTGAAATTATTTCATATTTTTCTTTTGGCTTTATCTAATCAGCCTAAATAGGTGCTCTCCCGACCACTTAAATTAAAAAATTGAATGTGTAATTTATATATAATCCATATATAACATGTGTGTAATCGTGTTTTGTCGGTATATCATCTATTTATATTAGCTATAAAAAGTAAACAATAAATATGGCCGGATATTATGTAAATATTTCATAAGATTTTGGTTTTTTGAGTTTATCCGTGATATAACTTCTATTATAATAATTTTAAAACTCTCTACTAATGTTAAAAAATATCTTATCTTTTTATTATCTTTGAATTAAAAAAAAAAAGTAAAGAGTTTTTTCGAAATAATTTGTTTACATTTTTAAAAAAATATTTCACGTCATACCATTTTTTTTTTATATATACTCTTTGTTACACTTAAAAGTCGCTATAGAAACTATCAATTAGAAACCAATTTATCTCTTGCTGAGTTTGGAAAAAAAAACCTTTCACATAATCTAATGATTAAAAACTAATATTCTTCAACGAAAAGAATATTATACCCTTGCAATACTGGCTTGACTACAACTAAATGAAGGGGTTCCAGCTTATACCGTTCAATTCCTTGAATATGCTAAATTGAACTTAATGATAGCAATTGTATAGCCAAAGTTACGTTATTTGTTTGATGTCCATTTATGCAAATTGACTCTTCAAACAAATATTCTTCAAGAAGAAAAAAGAAACAACTTTTTTTTTTAATATCGACTGATGTTTCTTTCTCCGGCATGTATGTTTACTTTATTATATATGTAAGTAAACTTTTATTTGGTTTTGTAAACTCTTTTTTGTTATTTAGATAAACGTAGATGTGTGCCCTATATATTACATTTATTTTAAAAGAATTTCGTCTTATTCAAATCTAGCTACAGTGTTTCAAAGAACTATACTTATAGGATTTTAAATGTGAAAGAGTTTTATAGTTATATGGAGTAGTTTTTGCTAGAGGCGAAGTAGTATTTAAATAATTAGAAAAAATAACAAAAGTTCCTAACATGATTGCATATGATCATTAACCGAATTAAGTATGATAACATGATAAAAAAAGATAAATTTTATTTTTAATTTAAATTCGAATTTTAGAACTTTATCTATAAATTCAAAATTATCTTTTAATTCAAATTTCGTATATATATATCGGCATTGTGAAGAAACTTTATATTATCAAGTCATCCAAAAATATTTATAGGTAACTTTTCATTAAAATTGAATTTGTACCTCAAAAATAAAACAAATTATAGGCTATAAGCCTACAACATGTAAAGATCACTTGATAGCGTAAAAATTATTTACTGCCAGTTAGGGGTGTACATGGATCAGGTTAGTTCGGTTTTTATCAAAATCAAACCAAGCCAACTATATCGGTTTGGATTGGGATTGGTTCAGCTTTATCGGGTATTTTGGATTTTCGGGTTTTTTCTTATTACATAAATATTATTTCGATCTTACTTTGTTAAAGTTAGATATAGTTTTGATAAGTGAAATATGTTTAGTAAATATTGAAAAAATTGACAAACATATAATCTATTAAAATATTCTAATGGGAGAATTTTTTTAGTAACAAATGATAGTTATTTTCTTTGTCGTCTAACAATAATTTTTCATTAATGTACGGTTTGAAGGTTAACACATGATAGGATCCCAAATATTTCTATATTTCGGTTTGGTTCGGTTTTTTACTCAATACCAAACCAAGTCAAACCAAACCTAATCAAGTTTTCTAATCGGTTTGGTGCGATTTTGCGGTTCCTCTAGTGCCAGTGCATATAACTTACAATCAAACTTCGTAAAGTGAATATAGTTGATACTCCGTCTGTTTCAAATTGAGTATTTACCTTACGAGTTCAACTTTATTTTAGTGCTCTTAGGCTTGAAACAAAAACTGAAAATACTGAAACAAAATATTTCAAAGCCATGCCAAATCGACCGATGAACACCCCCCTAATAGCTACAATACATGACTAGTTAAATCAATAACCTAAAAGAGACAAACAGCTTAATGAAGTGAAAACTTATATGAGTTACATATCCAAGAGTATCCAGGAGATTTGAATACAAAGGGGATGCTTAACAATATAACCTGTTCATTCTGTAATGTTAAAACAGAGCTTAGCCTCATCCCAGGGGCCATTAATCTCAAACTTGTACTCTTGAATCCTTATCAGCCAGTAAGGACAAACCAAATTGACGAAGACAAAAATTCCCAAAAGCAAAATGAAAAGCAGCTTATGCAACTGGTAAGTGAAAATTAGCGTTAGAACTAGTAACTGAAGGGAAAAGCAAATATGCAGCTTAAAAGAACGCTTCTTGACACAATATGTGACTAAAGGAGCAAAGAGGAAAACTTGCAATGAGAATAGAACGATAGCAAAGACATGAAGCCTCGATGGAAGGCGAGAAGAAATCAAAAGTGAAGCCACGATTGACGCATTCAGAGATATATTGCTTGTCAGGGTTGGATTTTCTAAAGCTCCAGGAGCCTTTACGGTGGACCCTGAGTAATTGTGAAGGAAGAGATGGAGTATGAGAAGGGAAGCTGTGAGTGCCCATATAGAATTCGAGCTTATGGACCTAGTAAGTGTATGGTAGATAGGAGACAACATATATAAGGCAGTTATGAAGAAGGTATTCTTTAGGAGATAATTGAGGAGGAGATTAAAGGGTATCATGTCCGCAGTTAAGAGCAGAATAAAGAAACTCGAACCAAGAAGGCTGACATTCAAGAGTAAGAGATATTTTTCATTCAAGGTATTTCTGAGGGTGTAGGTCCAAACTAAAACCACAAGGGCAACAATGCAAAGATATTGTGAGATTGAAACTGCGTCAAGCACCACCTTCAATAAGTCTCTTTTGACAACATTAGCATTCATGATCATTTCCTCCAGGAAGGACTCATCTGTGTGATTGTCACCAAAGCCAGGTTGCATCCCACCATAAACAACTTTTCTCCATTTTGGATGGGTTGGAGAAGAGCTCCCACTGATGCTAGCTTCCATTTTAACATACAACTTTATTCCACAGCATCTGTGAACAATTATTAAATGACAGTCAGCACTCAGGGATCCTAAATCATAATCATCTTAATAGTTTATACAACAAGTTAGAGATGAAAAAGGGAAAACAGAACAAATAATGCAATCTTGCTTAGGGTTTGGAGCCACGTAATCTTTTAATCAACTTTCGCCAATCGCCATTTACATTAGGTATCACGAACGCACTAATTCAAGTAACTCCACACCGCTATCTATTGAGTAATTTTCAAGCTAGGTAAACACATTGCAGACACTAAAATGCACATTGTATTTACAAAATAAAAAGAAGATACCGAGCTACAAAATCTCTTTATTTTGTAATATCAAGCTTTTTTGAATCTGATAGAATAATACATTTTACACCATCCAATTTCATTTTGCATCACTAACTCCTCTTAAATGGTAAAATGTACTCTTGATATCTTCAGCTTTTGGACTAGAGTAAAACCTTTAATTTTCTCTCAAATTGTATGATATAACCTCCTTATACTCAAATAAACTTTTTGTGTCAATTCATAAGTATCAAATGAAATAAAAGGTATCAAATGGACTTAAAAGTTATCTATATCTCCTTTTAACCTCAAAAGAATCCCATCCCAGCCCCACAACTCGATGAGCCCCTCTAGCCAACCCCAAGATAGTGCTGGATGATTTATCACTATATTTTAGAAATATCCAGCGGTGATGTCACTGACAACCAGAAGAAGTAAACTGTACCCATATCTTATACTATTATGATTGCACCATCAATCATTGCTATTGGCAAGGAAACCACAAGCAGAAGAGCAGTATAAGCTCAGATAACTACTATAAATGCTGAACTCAGGAGATAGAGCTGGCAGTTTAATTTTTTCCAACATCTATCTTGAATGAGTATTGGGGCCTCAATGGAGTGGTTTTGATAAAGATGATTCATATAGTAGAGGCAAAATATTTAAGCATTGATCATAGCAAATTGAAGATCTATCTTGAATGACTGATAGCATTACCAACCAAAAAAGGTAGAAAATTCACACAAATAGAAAATAAGATAAATCGTAAGTAATCATCAAAAGAAAGTTGATTGAAAATTCAGGATGATGAAAGACATCAAATATTTTAGGGTCGGAGTGCTGACTATATGACATTTATAGAGTTACCTTACTTTAGAACTTTAAGGTTAAATTTCTTATGAGTGTGTGCGTGTGACGTTTATGGAGTGTAAATCTGATTATCACTAAGTGTTTCCAAAATATTTGGCCACAATGGTCTGTTCACAAATAATTTTTCAACAAATTCCACTTGTCTCTACAGTTTCTGCCTTCAATTAAATTATCATATATTCTTTCTTCGTATCTATTAATAATCTGTATTCTTGGTCATTGTTGAAGAAGTTACATTGGTCCACAGATAAAAGGCTAGAAGAAATTCAGCACGTTGCAACATGAACGTGTTTCAAGTGATGTCAAGGTCTATCACTAAACTGACAATGTTATTTCAAAGAGAGATCACCAAGAGAATCCAGCATGACCTGCCGCTTAGTACAAGTGCCAAAGGTTGAGGGAATTGTGACTTAGGTCACAAGTTTGAGCCCTGCGCCATGAGAGCTAAGCATGGTATTTAAGTGGAGAAGGGTAGAGGGATAGGCCCATTATCCTCAAGTTTCAAAGGCTGCGGTTGGTCCTAAGGATTGGCCTCAGACGGATTTCTAGATCATCAAAAAAGAACAAAAAAAGAATCTAGCATGACCAACAAAAGATTTAAAGAACACCCACTGGCATCTGTTATAATCTTCTTTTGATAAGTTGCTGACATATGTTATATCCATACCATATTAGAGAACACGGAAAGTGTTATTAACAGCCTGACAACTAAAATGTTAAGCAAAACGATCAAATAAACTTTCACTGTATAATCTAAAGTAAATAAGCTAAAAAATGTAGACGGCAATAACATCAATGCGGTCCTTTGACTCTTGGTGAGAGTATACTGCAGCATATGTTTCATGTGGCATAGGAAAGGATCTTGACAAAGGAAGCAAGGAATAAAATCTGAAAAAATAAGAGAACTATAGGCCATGATACATGTTAAACCTTTTAAGGATTTAAGGGAACACTGTGACCAAATGGACTGACAAATACGCCCCAAAAACATTCATTTCACTGGAGGTTCTTCACACACAATTATAGCCACAAGGGGAAACCGAAACACTAGGTAGTTCCAGAAGATTAAGCTCATATCCAGTTGCACTAGAAATCTTCGCTAATTAACCACGGTTGAAGCAGGGTGGACAACCAGGACTATCATTTAGCCCTGGCAGCTATTGAGAGAATTCAGACATTGGCAATTCCAACTGAATGGCATCTGGAACATGTTCAACCAATTCAAGAAACTTAACGTAGGAGCAATTTCATATGAGCTAGCAGCTTAAAACAAGGATTCAACCATGTCAGTAAGGTGAACAATGGCAGGGTTCTAACCTGTAAAGTGCGCCTAACTCACACATCACGTGCTGCGCTCCTACCACCAGACCAAAGTCCTAGGGGCTATTGAGACATACTTAGAAGCTATGTTTAAAAGGGTAAAAGGAAAATTTTGAAAAACATAATGAGGATCGGGATCCGTCCAGTAAAAGTGGCAACTTGATGATCTAGACAAAGGGAAGATTAGGCACTAAGACGTTGGAGGAGTGCTATAAGGCATCTATATTAGGGCATTATTGGAACATTTCTGGTGAATGAGACGCTCTCCAAAGTTCAAAGTTAGGAACTTAAGAGTGCACCAGGCTCAAATATTACCAAAAGCATCAAGAAGATGCATGGATACAAAAGTTGAGCTGCATAAATAAAAGAAAGCTAGCCCCTTTACAATGTGTCAATCTAAGGCAAGGGAACAAACAAAATCCAAAAATTGGTTAGTACTAATTACAGTAGCTATCTTAGACCAGCAAAAACGATTGCCCCAGGCTCAATACTGTCGCGTCAATGGAAATTGTATAATTTTTATGAGAAAACACTTAGTTCTACGTACTTCAATAAAACTACAAACAACTTGTAGTTACAATTGGCAAAATAAACAAACTGAAGACGAAGGATAAGTCACCATTATCAATCATTACAGTTATAAGTGGCATATATACACACATTTATACCTTGTTCCTATATTATCTTCCCGACATTAAACTACATAAAAGTCATACATTCACTTCAATCAAATTGTACTAGTCACAAATCGAGCAACTTTATGTTGCATCTCATCAGCGGGCTCAGCAGAAGAAAATAATTTGAAGCACCAACAAAAATGATAACAAACAGAAATGTTTAGAGTCTGTCCATTCGTTCACATTCAGAAACTGATTTTAGTGATATTTTCAAATATCAATGTTCTATGCAAAAATACAGGTTTCGATTGAACCCGTAGCTAATAAGCTAAATCCACCACTGTTCACATTATGGGAACATCCAATATACGAAATCAGAATCTGCTAAACCCATAATCCCTTAACTATAGAATTTTTTGAACAATCCAAGAACACACACTTAACATATACACAGGGGCGGATGCACGTAGGCCGAATTGGTGTCACGTGACACCGCTTCGTCAGGAAGTTTTACTAAATATTTTGTGATAGATTGTATGCGAAAGTATCTAACATATACAATTAATAAAGTGACACCGCTTGACGCTAATCGATTCTTAGCGCCGCTGGTCAAGCATCTAGTTCTCCCCACCAAGGTCGCACGATCGACTCTCCACCTGCCTGCGTGACTTATACTTTGTGTTTGGCCTTTCTTGATTCTATCTAAAAGACATGCAAATTTACCTATGATCCGAACGCAGATCTCCCAATAAATTAGAACAATCTAAGTTATAACCAATAGACCAGAGACTGCCTTATAGCAGCAGAACGGTTATAATTCTTAGTTTACTTTTAAAAGCTCAATTCAGAAAACTTCTTTGGGACTACAATTTTAGGCCGGTTGGCGTGTTGCAACTCTACTAGGCTATTCATCTCTCTCACATCATCTCCCCTGACTCCTATGGGTCACCGATCACGTATTAATTGTGACACAGCTTAAAAAAAATCCAGCGTACGCCACTGCATAAACACCACATCCCCTATGAATCAACCAATACTTCTAAGCCTATCAGCTTTTACAGAAAACCCAATTCAGTATTTAGCTAATTTAATCACTCCCAGATAAAAATGTAGTTTTTTCATCAATAATTTCTACAAGAGATGGCGAAAAAAAGAAGAAGCAAATGCACTTTATTTTGAACAAAAAAAAGCAGCAAGTAAAAAGTGAAATTACCATAGAAAGTAAACCTGAGATTGGGTGTGAAACGCTCTTCCGATTAATGACAGCTGATTCTGATGCGATCAATAAAAATACGATTTGCACAAGTTTGTAGTTATGTGGGATCTTGGTCTCTGAAACTAATGGATGTTAAAAAAAATTTTAAAAAAATGAAACGAAAAGAAAGACAAGGAAAGGGCGCAGACCCCAGAAAAGACCGAAATGCTTCAAATTCTGCTTCTTTCGCTATGGCTGCCAATTTTGTTGGGGAGAACAAAATGAAGGAAAGGAAAAGAGGACAATGCAGGAATTAAGCATTATTCTGTTGTCTTTTTCTCTTTTTGTGCTCATTCTTTTGAGGAAACAAAATCTGCTTTCCTAAATAATTATTCTGTTAGGTTTTAAAATCAAGGAGCTAGCATTTGGACATAGATTTGATTGTAATTTTAAAAATAAATTTTTGAAATTATATTTGGACATGTATTTTATTTGAAAAAAGAAACTTTAAATTTTTTGAGTGGAAAAAAAATTTCACCCAAAAATTGGTTTGGGGAACTTGAAAAAAATGGTTTATTTGTCTGTATTGGGTGATACCCTTTTTTGCTTGAGCCCGACCGGGTTGGGTCCGGTCCGGGGCAAGTCGGGGCCATCAAACCCGACCTGGATGCAAGGTAGAACGACGGCCACGTCTACAACCGAGGTCGAGTCATTTCGAGACCGTTGCAGAGCTCGATATGAGTCACCACCGGATGGAGAAACACACAAGGTCGGAAGCCGGACTCGTAACGGATAACCAAGCGTCGCCGGATATCTCGCCCAAACGTGATTTTCTCAACCACTTCAGGCCATTAAGGCGTAATTACAGGGATCCACGATGTAATTAATTTACCTACCTTATTTTTACCCTTAATCAGAATGTATAAAAGGGGAGAAGACCCCATAAAGAGGGGATCGGAAACCATTACACTACAGTACCATCTCTCTCAATTCTTGTACGCTATCAAGCACAATTGTTCTAAGCAATATTATATTCTGTGATTATTTATTTTAACAGCAATTGTTGAGTCTTTATCTTTTATTTTCCTCAACCTAACCTTTTGTATCTTTTAGTTCACGGAT